ACACACACACACACACACACACACACACACACACACACACACACACAGCATAGGGAAATCAGACTGCTAATGAGGAGTGACTTGCAACAGCGAGGGCTCTCACACAGGCCCACTTTCACATCAAAATAAACATACCAAGATGTGTGTAGGGGAGGGAGGAAGGGAAAAAAGTGATATAAAAAATGCATTTTTCTGTAGCAGAGAGCAGCAGAGGCGGGAAGCAGCAAGTACAAGCCCTTTGATTTTGTTCAGCAGTCAGTACAAATTATGGTGGACAAGGGGGGCATCAAATGGCTGGATTAAAAATGTATTAAAAAACACAGGAGTTCCTCCCATGTGTGACACATGCAGACCTGCACTGGGCCCATTATGTATGACACACAGAGGAGGGGGGAAGGCAGGGGGAGAAGAGGGGGAGGGGATGGGTGTAGATGGAAATAGAGGGAAAGGCTCCTACTTTGTATATGAGAGAAAACGGGGAGGAGGTAGGGAGAAATGAAGGAAACTGATGTGAACAGAAATGAGGAAAATCCCTTTGTGTTTTAAATATTAAGACTGGAGGGACAGAGAGACAAGAAACACACAGAAAAAACATTCAACAAGTGTGTGAGCAAGAGATGCGGGGCAGAGAAAGAAGAAGACAAAGAGATCAAAAATAAGAATTTATCTTAGTGAGTGAAGAAGACAAACACGACACAAGGCTCAAGACGAAACATGTACAAACACACAATATCGTACGCAACAGCTAACACCTATTTTCTGTTATGGCCCCTTGTGGAGTTATACAAATATTCAGTCTTTCTCACCAAAATGCTTTTTGTGTATCCTTGGTGTCAAAGAAATGTATTTCTGTCATCATAAAGCATTTGCAAGGTTGCAGTCGTCTTCTTCACCGACAGCTGGAATGTGTATCGTATGTGCGTACTTTCATGATTGCGCGACAGAAAGTGCATTCTTCTAATTTGACATTATCTCTAAACTTTGTTGCTGTGGTGGCAAAACATGACAAACAAAGAACAATTTTGAAAACAGCAGGGAAAAGTGGACTGTCTGCTTATTTACAAAGAATATTTAAGAAGACAAATACACCTCCTCTCAAAGGAATGTAAAGAGAAGGGTTTACCTATCTGTATATTTGTGTGTGTGTGTGTGTGTGTGTGTGTGTGAGAGAAGCGAGAGCACTTATACCCTGTTGGGTGATTATTAACAGGATCTAATGAAGCAGCAGGAGATTCTCTAGAGACATGATGTATGCAAACACAAACCGACACACATGAGACAAAAATAAACAAGCGTGTAAAGACCTCTACACACACACACACACACACACACACACACACGAGGGAGTGTCTTGGGACATGTAATTCCACAGGAGTGTTGGGATGTTTGCATGTTACCGTTTGTTAGTCTGTCTGTCTTGCTGTTTGGCTTCAATTCTATCTAATGTCATACCTACTAGAAACGTCCTGCCTCCCTGTTTGTCCGTGCTGCTTTTCCCTTTCTGCCCATGTCTTTGTGGTTGCCTGTGTGTCTGTCTGCGGCTCTGTGCCCCAAAACGTTTCACATATCAAAAGGTACTTTTCTTTCTGCACTTCGAACAGAAAGCTCTCACTACATCTCACTCTTCGTCTCATCCACTGGGGATGAGTTGAAGAGCGAGATGTAGTGGGTTCTCCTCTCCTATGTCTCCCTCCTTTTTCATTCCTCTTTCGTCTCCTCTACCTCTGTGCCTTCTCGTTCTTCCCATACTTCCTTCCTCTTCTATCTGCTCTCTTTCTGAAAACAAAATCACTCTGTACATCTCTCCGGGCTTCCCACCTCTCCCTTTCCTCACTCGCTTCCCCCTTTCTCCGCCGTCCCCCAACTGCTTGTTCTCATAGCCGCGGTGAGTATGTGAGCAGGAAATATTACCATACCAAATGAAAGGGAGAGGATTTTTTCCTCCTTCTCTTTTCTTTTCATTCAACATTGCGTTACCTTCCCTCTCTCCCAGCCTGCTAATTAGTCGAGGGACTGGTGTTTGGGAGTTGAAAGAAAACGGCACACGTTCATTCTCTTCTTCATACAAAAGGTTTTGACGGTGCTCCATCATCTGCAACCAGTACCAGCAGCAAAAAAAGGACAGCGCATACTGTAGATTGAGCGTTCATGGATTTTATTCTATTGCTTTTATTATTCTGCCAATAGCCAGTCCTTTCCAACATTATTTTTTTATTTCCCGAATTCAGAACATGTTGTCTATTTTTTAACGAGACTTTAGAAAAGACTTAAATCATAAGTAAGCAAATAGTGGCTAGAAAAGACCTAATTAATGCCTTTATAATTCAGTAGATGAAAACAGCATACAGTGCAAATTATTTGGTTTCTTGTTTCTTTGTAAAATTACAAAGTTGTTCTTTTCTAACTGCAAGTCTCGTTCAATGCATTGAAAAACGAGTGTGTGTGTGTGTGTGAGTGTGTGTGTGCGTGGTGGATGTGTTGCAGAGTAAAGAATAGCATCTTATTTTCACTCTGAATGTTTTGACAAAACTGCTGAGTGTGGAGCCTACTCTAATGGATATGTGGACATTCAGATGGCCTGTCACAAGCACCTGTGTGTGTGTGTGTGTGCGCACATGTTAATCTGCTGGGGCAACTCATCTTATCCTAAATACCATGACCAATTTCACGCTCTCACTGGAAAGGTCGTGCCACTGGCGTGTGTGTGTGTGTGTGTGTGAGCATGTTGGTGTGTACACACCCGTGCTGTTTGTATCTGAAGTTAACCCGGTTAACCCCAGCGTAGGTGAAAATCTGCTGCTGAGGCAGACTTTGGCAACAGAGATCCTGGATAACGCTACTTAACGTCACTAGCCATCAACATCTATGACACTCGCACAGATGGAAACACAGAAGCACACATACAGTGGGCCTTTTTTGAATTAAAACATATACACACACCAAACAACAATTCTTGTTAAAATTCACATAAACACACATACACACGGAAACATTCAGACAAGTTAAATGATGTCAAGTCCAGAGTCAAATCAGCCTGATGTAACTAGCCCCTCTGGAGCAAAAAACACACAAGCTGGCTTAAAAGAGAGGTAGTGTGCATGGTTTTTACTTCCCACCATGATGATATATTTTCTATAACACTAATATCAGAAAACATTGAATCCCCCAAAAACTCTATTCTGAACCGTCAAATAACAGCATCATTGTACATAGACATGTTCCGATACAATTTTTTCCTTCTTGACTCCGATACATAAACTTATGTCTTGGTCGATACCAAGTACCGATCCAATACCAGTGCGTAACAAACAACAAAAGTCAAAACAACACAACACAACAGGTCACAAATCCGTCTCCAATATTTTATATCACTGTGAAAACATCTCCTTCAAACAACTGTATTTTTTCAAGTTTCTCACCAAAAACGAAATGTTACGTTTAAGATTACATTTGAACACAACTTGATACGTTAATGCTCATTCTGAATAGAGCTTGAACGCATCGCAATGTAACTCAACCCAACCCTCCTTAACAGCTGTTAGCTCTGTTATTCAGTCAAGCAGGACTGGGCTGCCCAATTGTTGTTCATTACAAAGCATTGTCAAAAGATTGTTTAACCACAGGTTAGTAGTGCTAGTTTGCACATGTGCAGTACAGATTGGGCAGGATGTAGGGATCAGGAAGCGGGTGACACATGTTGTAGTACCTGTGTGGTGTAAATGAGTTGATAAATTAAATGATGACGTGATATCGAATCTGTGCATAGACTCGATACCCATCCAGCATTTTAGGCTGTTTTGGAGGCATTTCAGACACGGGTATTGGTATTGGAACAACTCTAATTGTACAACAGAAAATGCAGCGTGTGACGTGATGTACAATACAATATAGCTTTCCGACATGAATGAATCCATCAGTTGGTGAGAGACGTACAGAGACGGAGTGACAGAATGAGAGATCAACTCTGACACAGAGTGCACATAAGAAAGAATCAAAAGAGTGAGAAAGTGGGCGAGTGTGTGTGCGTTTGTGTGCATGTGTGTTTAAGTACGTGTGAGAGAGTTTAAGTGTGTGTCTTCCAAAGCCCCCGTTGATCATCTTGACACATGTCTGAGCATTTCTGTCACTTTAATATCACTGTGGAAATTCTGCAGATTAGTACAACATCCGTCATGGTGCCCGGCCGATCCAAGTCAACAGAAGGCATGCAATATTAAACGCTCATATTCCCCACAGCCTTTTATGCTCCAATATTACAGAGGCAGAAGAAAGGGCCTGAATATTCACTCAGAGAGATGACATGGACAGGTTTGGAAGAAAAGTGCACACACACACACACACACACACACACACACACACACACACACACAC